TCCAAATGTTCAAAAACTGTATACCAAAAAAAAAATAATGAAGGTTCAGAATATGTTGATAGCTCTGGTCATCAAAACTTATCCTCTACTCAATCACATATAATCAAAGAATACGTTTACAACTAACCTGGTACGGCTTTTTAACAATGCCTGCATCATCACCTTTTTCATCAAATTCTCCTGACTTCTTCTTTGCCTTTCCCTCACAATCTGCTGCCAAATGACCCATTTGGCCACACAAGAAGCACTTGTCCTGTTGACCAGGAGTGAAAACAATCTGAAATGCAAGGACAATGCGATTAGTCACTCGCGATACAACCTCTTGCTTTGTGGTTTCAGAAAAGTCTGAGTCTGATATAACCATATCTGAATGACCTCTTAGAACAAATAGGCTCGCATATAGTGTACATATCTCTCAGGTATGTGTGTGTGAGTGTGCAAATACCTGGAAAATCATCAACACTAAGCAAAAGAACTTCTACAGGAAGATGAATTCAACCTCCGAAGATGTTCCTCCATCCAATTTTATTTATTTTTCCAAAGATAATTTTTTCTTCAAAGTAGACGAGGCATGTTTCAAAAGATAATGTTAGGCAAAATTTGTTCACAAACCTCTCGAAGAATCGAAAAATGAATTTCATGTGTGGCCAAAGCTAACATAATTAAATCAGCGTCCTGCATTAAGCAATCAAATGCAGAGTATAAATTAGTCAAACAGAGGTCTATAATCAGCAGGAACATCCTGCAGGGATGAAGATCCTGTTGAAGGAAGAGATATACCAAACCATACAGGCAATGCCGTGTATTTGGATCATATCCAGGAAGATTTCTTTGGAGACGAATATATGACATGATCTTGTGTTCCCCTTCACCAGGAACATTTGCATCAGAAAGGATAACCTTCAAAAAATGAATCAATAAGCAAAAGCTACAACATTTACTACCGACATAATATCACCCCTTCGATTGTACTCCACTAAAAGTAAAAATAAAAGTATCTGTGTCTTATGTGAATCATTTCTTGAACAACAGAATCCCTGGAATAGTCGGTCATAAAATCACTCAACTGTATATTTTGGCATTAAGTCAGTACAGCATCAACACATACAGGGCATACCTTGACTCCTTACGCAAGAAAAGATGGCCTACATATAAAAGGTACCTTAATAGATCTCCATCCAGGGTCATTATTTAGCCTAAGATGGACATAATACTGCAGTGCCACTGACAAAACAGCCATGAATTCAGTTCCAGGAGTGATGACATTTGAATCGAAAACTTGAGATTCGTTCTTGGGAGGTAGTTTCCGGCCTTCGCTTTCAAATTCCTGCCTTAGCCGCTCTTCTTCAGCTGCCTACAGGAGAAAAATCACAAAGATCACTAGCTGAAAGTTAAGTACAAACCACAAATATATGCCACATGGGATTGCTGGCTCACCCATGCTATACACGGCATAGAAAGAACTATCTGAGAAAACCAGGAGATCTATATACAATCATTTACAAAATGCATACTGAAATGTTAAACTTGTAATGCATCATGATAACTGCATAAATACAACAAAGAAACAAATAAACATGCAAATGAAAGGAACCGATGCATCATGTGCCAATATCTGCACTAGCATCCGAAGAAGTAAAGGACTTGGATAAGTGTAACAAAAGCAAACTATTATAAGAATTAATCAGGTTAATTTTCATTTTTAATTAATTCCATTCAGAGCATGCCATAAATCATCTCAAGATACAAAAGGGGACTACTATGAATTGTGGGGAGTGTTAGCATAAAAGTAAACACATACCGCATCTGCTGCATCTTTAGCTGCTCTAAAACGCCTCGACCGCTGCTGATTCATTTTTGCTCTTGGTGCGACACCATCTATTTGTCATTCACATACAGTTTATCACAATTATGATTTTGACATAGCACGCGGACAGAAAAATTAACGGTCTATACTTACCTATAGCCATATATAACAATTTTCGCGGTCGCACCATCACAAAAAGTCTGTCGATATAGTCAAACATGCACTGAAACACCTCATTGAACGTCGTTGGAGCTGGCTGCAACAGGAAAAAAAACAAAGTCATAATCTTTGCTTGAATGAGATGAAAATCAAACAAAAATGCAGACTTGATCCCCCACGAATTACACAGTATAAATCAATAACTCGATAAGTTACTTTGAATTTCTTAATGGTACCAGGAAAACAAGCCAAGTTGCCCTCACTAAGAAGTAAAAATAACCTCAGTCTAGTTCTAACTCTAGATTATAAGCAATTGCACTAGCCAATAAGGATACGACGCATTCGCAATTTTCGGCATGGCTCTTTCTATATTAATTCCAATCTGAGTTTGGATCGTGCAAACTTCAGATATGCATAAAATTCTACTTAACCTAGAGAATAGTTAGTTTAGTGTTTATTATTCATGCCGTAAGAGTATGCTGGGTATATAGATGAGAGTAAGTTGAGCTGGATTCGTGATCAAATAAATATCACAGACGAATATCCAGCCGCTTTGTGCTATTAGGTTGCCAAACCCATTGATCTTCAGGATGCCCGGCACAGTTTCAGTCGTCATTGTAGAATTTCCAAAAAGACAGAGACTTCAACTTCTAGATAAGCATAACCTTCTAAAAGTCGAGACGGGGACAACAACTTCTGTCCTTTCAATTCTCTTCCCTCCTAACACCCCGGTACTGATGATACCAAACCCGTCCCATCTGCTCGACCAATTGCGCAGACTCCCGGCTATATACAAGACTGGTCGAGAGGCCGAGGCATCGAGAACAACACATAGGCACCGAAAAATCGACAATTCACCGAGGAAACGACGGCGGAAGGAAAAGGAATCGTTAGAAAACAACGTACCCTGTCTTCGGGATGGAAGCAGGGATGGATAATCCCATTCATGTCGAGGTAGAGGTTGTCGAACTCGACGGCGTTGGGATTGGGCTTGCTGGTGTCGACGGGGATCGAGACCCCGTCGATGACGACGGCCTCCTCCTCGACGACGTCGACCACGACCATCGGGTACTTCTCGGCCAGCCATCGGTAGAACGCGGGCACTCCCATCTCGGAAACCCCGAGCAGAGCCGAGGCTCGCGAATCGCGAACGGATCCGACGACGCAGGGAGGGAGGGTGGGAGGAGGAAGAAGCGGGAAGCGACAGCGAGCGAGAGAGAGCGAGAACGAACCGAAACCCTAGCGCTAGGAGAGAGAAATCGAGGAGAGATTGAAGAGAGCGTGGAGGTTGAGCTTGGAGCTCGAGAGGCTGGAAAGGAGACGTTTGAGCGGGACGCGGTGTTGCGTCTTGCCGTTGCCAATTAGGGCAAAGGCGAGGAAGATTTGGCTTTTGTGGGCGATTATGCCCCTGGTCTCTCAATTTGCGATAAGCAGAAGGGCTAAATTGCAAAATGCCACCTGGACTTCGCTGCAATTTCTTGCCACATACGTTTGATTTTTGACTCCTATTAGGTCCGCCATCACCACCGTGGAATATTTACCGTTGGATAAGTGATGTTTGTTTTTTTCTAAGCTTATTTTTGCAATCGAGTTGTTACGCGTGTTAATCATCCGACGGTGAATATGCAGGTCGTTTCTTATATCGATAGTGCATCCGGTGGATATCCTTTGAATTTTCGTATTTTGAAGTTGTTTTTTTTCTTTGTGGATCGAGTTTTGGGTAGTTTCTTACGCAAGAGATTTACAATTTGGACAAGACAAGCAATGTGGCCCTAATTGGGGTTGGAAGGTATTGAAAGGAAGTGGGGATGGAAGAATAATTCCGTTGTCCGGATAATCTAAACAAAAAGAGAGATGCAAGAGACGAAACAACAACAGAGCTGACGAACGAGCGGGCGGCCCAGACACAAGGCCCACGGTTTGACCAAAACCATAAAGTGGTTTGGCCCAAAAAGTGAATGTACGTGGGCTCGGGCCCAAGAATGAAATGACTTGCCTGGGCTTACCCATTTCGTGCTTCGGTCCTATTGGCTTGGGTGGGCTCTGAATGTCGCCAAACTCGCGATCGGGTCTACTTGAAAGGAAATGGTGAATCGGATCTTCTTATTGTTTATTCACCCCATGGTTATGAAGAAAACTAGGAAAGAGATCTTTGGTTGCGATAGCACCTGAGAGTCGGTGCCCACAGACCGTACATTGATGATGGGACTCAATACCACAATGATTAGACTTGGTACTCCGAACAACTAGAGTCCTAAGTCCTGCCCTCAGGGTCTCAAGTAAGGAGAGTAGGGTCCTGCGTCCATAGTTATCGACATCATGCATCGGCCTTGCGTATATTTTCTCAAGAACATTTTATGAATCTCGACAATGAGTTTATGCCTTGTCCGGCCAAAAATTATACAACTAAAACCATTTTCCTTAGAAAATGCTATTTTGAAAACTTTTTCGATTATGTCCAGCTTTTGCCAAAGAAACAAACCCGTTTTGATGTTTGTTTTTTTTACAAAAACAAATTCTAATCCATACTAGCTCGTTTCTCTATTTATCACCGATACATGATAGAGTGATCAATGAATGGGCTCGGGCAAGGTTTCTTGGACCGGTCTGAAACTTTGTCCAGCTTCCCCGGCAAGAAAAAGGTATACGAGAACTGCGTGGGGTCGAGAGGGTCGAAGCAGACCTTATAACCACAGGTCATTGTTCAGACCCCACCCAGAGTGCCTCCGGACCCTTGCAGGTCGGGACCGCCATAGGTAGGCTCGTGAGCCGCCGAACCCATGATAAAAGGTGAATCTTTTGTTACAATAGAAGCAGCTTATGCATGGCACGCGATCCATCCCGTCCTCACAAAATGGTCTTTACAACACCATTGGCTGCGATGCGATGCGATGCTCGTGAAGAAAGACACACGAGCCTCCCCTTTCGAGTTCCCCCACGGTCCCCACCACCGCCACCGCCGCTGTCGAGCATATGTTGACCGACCGGCCCACAATGCTTCCCCTCCACAGGAGGGAAAAGGCAGAGCATCATTGCGAAGAACGGGTGGATCTCTTTCACTTTCAGTAACACTGCCCACTCCTTCACCCTCCTCCTGCATCTTCTTCCTCCTCCAACCCCACAAAAATGCTTGCCCAATATAGCCTCCCCGCTGCACCTCCCCGCATTAGCCGCCCCTCCCCAGCGCTCCCGCCTCGACCCTTTTTCATTCCAGCATGTCTCTGACCATCAATCTCCACGTCGCCGCGACGCCTCGCCTCTGTTCTCGCCGCCAAGAAACCGGCGGAGCAAAGCTCAAGAACGTCAGGCTCGGAGCAATTTACCACGCCAACCCATTGTCGAGCCTCGCGCGCCGAACCGAGATGCTGGGTCACGGTCGCAATGCCGCCAGGGCCTCCATCAGGAGCTCCCTCATCGACCCCGACGGCGGGGTCCTGGTCGACCTCGTCGTGCAGGAGAAAGATCGGGCCTTGAAGGCGAAGGAGGCCGAGGGGTTGCCCCGGGTGGGGCTGACGAGGATCGATCTTGAGTGGGTGCACGTGATCAGCGAAGGGTGGGCGAGCCCTTTGAAGGGTTTCATGAGGGAGGAGCAGTACCTGCAGAGCTTGCATTTCAATTGCCTGAGGATGGGGGACGGATCGGTCGTGAACATGTCGCTTCCGATCGTCCTGGCCATCGACGACGGGACCAAGGACGCGATCGGGTCGTCCCGGAATGTCGGGCTGGTCGGTCCCGACGGGGATTTGGTCGCGGTTCTTCGGAGGTAAATGCTGTTTCGATGTTCGAAAAGAAAAGAATTGTCTATTTTGTTGGGGACCAGCTGATCTTTTCGCTAATTGTTTGTTAATTCGCGAGCCTGGGTCTGTATCTTGGTCTCCTTCCCACATTGAGGTGTTGCGGGACGCTTTGTTAATTCCCACTTGAACGAGAAGGAGTGATTTTTTTAATAGCCTGATTTCAACATCAATCTATGCAGGGGTTTTTGATAATAACCAGCGGAAGTAATTGTTTCAATAAAAAAATATCTCTGATATTCGAGTGGAATCACCTGCATTTGAATGTCGGCATCGATTATTTTGTGGTCAATGACTTTGCAGAAGGAATTGTTTCAATAGAATATATGTCCGACGATTGAGTGAAATCACCTGCATTTGAATTGTGGCATCAATTATATCTTCATCTGGAACAACTATGGTAGTGTTTGTGTATTCGGAAATCCCGCTCATAAGTCGGTTGTGTGTTATTTTCGGTGCAGCATCATTGGCATGCGCTTGCGATAACCAATAGCCATAGTGTTTGACTATCTGGCTTCTTGTGAGAACTGTGGTTACCAGTTAGACTTCATAAAATCTTTATTTTGTCTCTGTCATTATATCATTTTTATTTACATATGCCGGAGTATCCTGTTGTACTGTATCTGAAAAATAAATAGCTTCCATGCGACTACACTTAATCAGTTGTTCTTACTGGGAACCATTCATATTAACCTTTTGCAGTATTGAAATCTACAAACACAACAAAGAAGAAAGAATAGCGAGGACTTGGGGAACAACTGCTCCCGGATTGCCGTATGTTGAGGAGGCGATAACTCCTGCTGGGAACTGGCTCATTGGTGGAGATTTGGAAGTATTGAAACCAATTAAATACAATGACGGGCTCGATCACTACAGGCTTTCACCTAAACAATTGCGACAAGAGTTCGACCAGCGTCAGGCTGATGCCGTCTTTGCTTTTCAGTTAAGAAACCCCGTGCATAATGGGCACGCGTTGTTGATGAATGATACGAGGAGGCGTTTGCTGGAAATGGGCTTCAAGAATCCGATCCTGTTGCTTCATCCTCTTGGAGGTTATACAAAAGCTGACGATGTTCCTTTGAATGTTCGGATGGAACAACATAGCAAGGTTATTTTGATCGTTTACAATTCCTTTGCATAATCCTGCACTGTAGCCTAGTAGGAATTATCTAGCATATTGAGTCTAAATGGAACATGCCTTCCATGCCTCTGTTCTGCTGGATGAAGTGTATTGACCATGCACACCGAAACACGATGATCAATCTTGTTTTCCTAACTTTAAGATAAGAGGAGGACATTAGTAAGCAATTTCTTTTCTCATACAACTTTACTGTCATTGTTGGTGAATTGGGTTTTACCAGAATATCAATTCAATATCAGGAAGATTGGCCTTCCAAGTTATACAATACTCTTATGTTCAGATGTTATAGATTATTTAATGAGTGGTTGCTCTTCCAGGTCCTTGAAGACGGTGTTCTTGATCCTGAGACCACTGTTGTGTCCATATTTCCATCTCCGATGCATTATGCTGGTCCAACTGAGGTACAGTGGCATGCCAAGGCACGGATAAATGCCGGTGCAAATTTCTATATAGTTGGTCGAGATCCGGCTGGTATGGGGCACCCAACGGAGAAGAGGGATCTGTATGACCCTGATCATGGGAAAAAGGTGTTAAGCATGGCCCTGGGCCTTGAGAAACTCAACATATTGCCATTCAGAGTGAGTATCTTCCCCCCCGCCCCCTCCCCAAAGTGTATCTTCTGTTCTTCTGGAGCTTTTTACTTGTTTTCTCTGCCGTATGATATTGGGCAACTTGCTCTTCCTTAAAGCCCATACACCCATTTTTTATACCTTGATAATGTTTTCCCGGTATCATTTAATTTTTCTTACATCACGGACTTTGTGGCATGTCCAATGGATCTCGCACTCGATGTTCTTGCTCTGTAAAATTTCCTCAACTTTTCTACTTCATGTTCTCCAGGTGGCTGCATACGACATGGTGGAGAAGAAAATGGCATTTTTTGATCCTTCGCGTGCTAAGGATTTTCTTTTTATATCTGGGACCAAGGTAGGGATTTTACTTACTGGGGCTTTTGAATGTATATTATAGAAAATAATAATGTCTCCCTATAGCAGCCGGAATCTGCAGAACATGTTCTCCCAATGACTGCGCTCTTTCGTGGTGAAAAAGTGAATCTTCTCTCTCTGTTACTGGGTTTATATTGACGAGTTTAATGATGTGCAGTTGAACATTTAGACTTGGTTAATTAGAAGCAGTTTGTGAGTTTGAAGATGATCAAAGCATAATTTGACATTGTCATTTGCGAGTGTGTGACCTATATTGGAAAATATGCACCAAAAGCAAACACTTAAATTAGAACTACAATTAGCTCATGTCTGAAAACACTGCACTTGTCTGAAAACCCTACTCAATTTGCATCAATATGGGTAAGATCTATCAGGTCAGTGGGGCAAAATCTTGTGTTGCCTTGAGGCAATTGATTTTGGTTAGAGATTAATAAAACGAACCTTCTTACTTTAAACCAGATTTAAGATTAAAAAAAAAGGAAGGCAAAAGTTCAAAACCACTGAAATGGCACAGATATACCTGATAGTGATAGATAGTGTGTGAGACCCCTTTGTAGTTGTTTTAGATGGCAGAAATTGCTGTTAGGAACTTCTTGAAGACCTTAAGAAGCTTTTTCTAGTATGCTTGTCAATATGTACACATTGCAAAATTCGCCTTGGAGATGTAGACATGTCCTTGCATAATGAAAGATCATGTGCAAACTACGTCCTAACTAATAGTTTCTCGGATTTTACATGCTTAGAAATCGTAAATTTTTTGACCATATTGTTTCTGCAGATGAGGACTTATGCAAGAACTGGCGAGAACCCTCCTGATGGATTTATGTGCCCCGGAGGATGGGAGGTACTGGTCAAGTATTACGAGAGTTTGCAAACGGAGGAGACTAAACAGCAAGCTACTGTTTTATCCATATAGACCTGTAACTAGACACGGCGGTTTTCAAGCAAGTTGACTTCGCACCAGGGAAAAAAATGCGATCGCTGCAGGCAATTGTCTGAAATTGGGTTGATGCTATCTTCATTGTTTTCTTTCCTGCCCTTTGGTAGGCATGACGATGTTGGACAAGTTATCAACTTTTTTTAAAGAGAACGATATAAAAAAAATCTGCCAGGCTTCGAGATTTATAGATTACACGGCATTCGATCTCTTTTGTTCCTGGCAATACCATCACTCAAATCTCATGTAATGGTAAGACGAGGGGTTTAGCTGCTGGTGGCCAGATGCATGCAGGGTACTTAGAAGTTGTTAGAAAAAGGATTCAGCGATATGAAGATTGCACGGCCTGTATTGATGGCCTTCTCAACAAGCGTCTGGCTTTATAAGCTGTGAGACTGCATTGCTGTAAGTAGCATCGGCCTCTCCTATAATCGACCAAATTCTATGTTGTCACTTTGTCTCATCAACTGATTAACAATTCCGTCACCCCGAGCTGTTGGTTTATTCTCCCTTTGGTTTGGAGTAATCGATGTAGTATTATAAACGAACGGCTTGTCCTCGTCTAATTTACACCAAGTGATGATCAATCTGCAACATATCAATTGATTCGGTGATGGCACATTGGTGTGGCTCGGGGCATGAACTGGGTAGGTGATGAACTTGTACAGTATATTCCGCGGCGAACTCTAATGGGCTGTGGGAGCTTATAAGGGGAGGTGGATGTCCATGTGACTCAGCTAGGAGCGAGATAACACAGTCTCGTTTCGGACTTCAAAGTGCAATTTAACTCATGCAAAAGCCTAAGTAACTCATGCGGAAATCATAAACATAGTAAGTATGTTAGGGGGAAAAAGCGTCAAAAAAGTCATAAACCTTTTACATTGATGCCAATTTAATCCTAAACTTTTTTTTAGTACCAATTCAGTCCTAAACCTTTTGTATTGATGCCAATTTAGTCCTAAACCTTTTTTTTTGTGCCAATTCAGTCCTAAACCTTTTATCTTTATACCAATTCAGTTTTTCCAGCCAATTTTGGCTGGATTTTTCTAACGTGAACACTGGCAGCCAATCACCGACGCTGACGTGGATAACTTTTAATAATATTTTAATATTTTTTTGAATTTTCTTTTCTTTTTTTTTTCCCTCTCCTCCCTCCTTCCTCCAGCCGATCGCCAGACCGACAACTGGCCAGAGGCCAGAGGTCGGCGAGGTCAACCTCGCTGGCCACTGGCGAGCCTCGCCCAGCCACTAGCGAGGCTCGACCTAGTTAGATCCGGCGAGGTCGAGCCTTGCCCAGCCATGGTGAGGCTCGCCCTCGCCGGGCAAGGCCGTCCTCCCAGCCATTCGGCGAGTGCAAGCCTCGTCGACCTCTGGCCTCTAGCCAATCGCCGGTTCAGCGACCGGCTGGAGGAAGGAGGGAAGGAAGGAAAAAAAAAAGAAAAAGAAAAGAAATAAATAAATAAATATTCAAAAATATTATAAAAAGTTATCCACGTCAACGCCGGTAGCTGGTCGGCGTCTATGTCAGTAAAATCCGGTCAAAATTGGCCGTAATGACTGAATCGGCACAAAGATAAAAGAGTTAAGACTGAATTGGCACGAAGATAAAGGTTTAGGACTTTTTTTTGACACTTTTCCCATATGTTAGGTACTCAATAATGACAAATTGAATGATGCTGAAGTGACAGATAGATAGGTAAAGGATTGGTAATAATAACAACGCAAGACGACAGATAGGTAAAGGATTGGTAATAATAACAACGCAAGACAATGACACTATGTCATTGGAAAAATGATACTAAAAGTCCATAAACTTTAGCCAAATATGTAATATGGTCCCTGAATTATTAATTTATTGAACGTGGTCTCTGAACTTTAACCCAATGTGTAATGTGGTGCCTAAACTTTTAATACACGTTCAATTTAGTCCTTTAACTATATGAAAATGTTCAATGTAGTCATCCCATTAATTTAAGTTTAGGGACTATATTGAATAATATCATATAGTTCAAGGACTACATTAAACATATATCAAAAGTCTAAGGAACAAGAACTACATTGAACAAATTAAAAGTACGGGGACCAAATTATACATCCGGCCAAAAGTTTAGAGACACTTTATGTCATTATCCTTGTGTCATTTGATAACATTCACTCTCGTGACAGGAGAGCGTTCATCCACTCATGATCAAATGGCGATTCAGAGATAGTGGCCCCAATGACAAAATCACGGAAAATGGGAAAAGCGAATGGGACCGAGTTCCAGTTCATCCCCGGGAAGCCGGAGAGCCAAGTTCCTCCGGGGGACTACTTCAGATCACTGCCCACAAGTTTTCCTTTTCTCCTATCCAGAAGAAGGGAGGAGATAAAAAGGAGCGAAATCGAAATTAACACTGACAAAGCGAGCACATGGTTTTAACCAAAAAAAAAAAAGCGAGCACATGGTCTCCGAGCTTGAATTGATTGACAATCGATTGAAACTTTTTGAGAGTTTTTGTCCACGAAACAACTGTATTGTCTTCTTTATTTTGCGCCCACTCGCAGGGGACACGAACCTCTGTTCTCGGCGTCCCGTGGCCAGGGCGCACGGGCAGTTCTATGGCCTCCCGAAGACCGGATTCTTGAAGGTCATAGCTCTTTGTAAAACTTTCGTAATTCTTGTGAAAAAAACGTCGCAACGCAAAATTTTTGAAGGTTTTATGATCGACGGGCGAGACTCGTTCTTTTTTGTCCGACGGTGCAGTGAAAGCAGGGTTAACTAAGAGGCAACTTCTGCTCTGAGGACAGACTTGAGACAGTACCACCACTTAAAGCAAGCACAGTTATTCAATGGCATTTTTGGACTCTCTGGATGAGCCACACACCTTTCGCGGATGCTCTCAATGTCTCGTGCAATTTCCTGACCGAATGAATCCAGCTAAGAATCTTCAAAGAAGGTTCATGCAACAGCAACCAAGAGGGGGAAAAAGGCCATTGATGGTGGTGGCAGTTGCGGTTGAGGAGGTGAGGGGCCGTCAGGGTTTTGAAGTTGGTCCTGCATCATCATGTCTTCACTCGGAAAAAAAGAGGCACAGGAAGTAACATGGCCCTCTTGGCTTTGATGGGTACCTTTAGTTGCATCACCTATGAACACCTGTGGTTCGACATTCGTACCTGAATGATTCTAGCTATTGAACAAAATCAATTCGTAAAAATGACACCACAAATTATTCTCGTGTGCTTGTACACGGCTCACATGGCGAGAAATCGGCTTGCTACCCGCTGCATCACGCCCCCGTCATCGCGCACTTGACATTACCCTTCACACATTGCTAAGATCATCCACCGACACCCAAAAAGAAAACGAATTGCCGAGACATCCGTCCACACTCGTCCCACGATCGAGTTCATCGGGATGCGAGTCACTATAAACAGCTTTTCATGTGAGCCATTCTTCCAGTTACAGTCATGATGTTCATAGTGAGCGGATGGATCGACTGGATTTATCTACCATCCTTGTATGATGAATGCTCGGATGAAAATGAAATGGTTGCGTCGGTTGTAATTTCTAATTTTCTACGGCAGACTATTACCCACGGAGGTCACCTGTCAAAGCCACTGCTTTTCGGTGACTGAGGTGCTGTGTGGACCAGTATTTTCCTCTTAAGTTTTTTTGTTTTTCTTCTGATGTTTCTCTTCTCCGACTCAACAGCAGCCAATCTGAGTCACAGAACATGGGGGGGGGGGGGGAAGTTTCGGTTTTCACTTCACTTTCGGACACAGACAGCGCGCTATGGCCCCAGTCGAGTTACGGAGGTTGCTTTTTTGCCAACTTTTGCTTACACCCTCACTTAACTCCGCTTTCATCATGATGTGGAAGATGATGGTCAAAGTGTTATGACGAAAAACAGGTTCTGGTTCAGTCGCGATTCAACCGACTCGAGTGAAAGGATCTTCTACACGGCCTGTGTACAGCATAATCTCTACATTTCTTGAAACGACTGTAACAATTAGCTGCGGTACTAAGACCATGCGAAGAGGCGGGCATCTTTAAGGTCCCTCGAGACACCGATTTCACTATTGTAACCCGTCATTATCGCGCGCATTTGATCGCAAAATCCATACATAAAGTACAGCGACAACTCCTCGGGGAACGGTTCTTTGAGAATTTTTAAATTACGCCTCGAAAGAGGGGTTGGAGCCAAAAGCTTTTGCAAGTACAGAAAGATGGGGAAAAAGGCAGAGAGACAGGCTAAGATGGCTTTTTGCATGCATGTGAGTGATTCGTGGACGAAGTGTCCACGTTCTGGTGATTTGATAATGTAGACATTGAGATACTGTGTAATTTGGGGTTGGCCCCAATTGGGACCTTGTTGCTTCCTTCTAACGAGGGGGCTCCTCGCTCTGCAATTTCAGTAGCTGTCGAGCAAGAGCTTCTCCTTTGGTTTTATGCCTGACCAAACTGTTCAGTTCAATCAATTGGGTTGGGGGGGGGGGGGAGCGCGCTCATGGCGGACGGCCAAGAATTCCCGAACGTCGAGTCGGCGGTTTCGCCGCTCGACATCGAGATGATGATGCTCGGATCCAAGATGTATATATGCGACCGACCGTGAAGGTTGCGAGGCATGCTATATGCCTAAGCTACCCATATGAGTATCTTCCTCGTTCTGCCTAAGTCGATTGGAGTTCCTACGTACGATGCTCTGCCAGTTTAATCCTCGGCGGAATGATCTTGATCAAAGAGCATTCGGATAAAGCTAGCTCATCCCCGAAAGTGACGCGATTCTCCATCTACTCTATCTCACGTTTTAAGCATATGGGATCGGATTCACACCGGAACTCATCAGAAGCATCAACATTTAACAATACTAGACATACTAAGACCCGTCTATTAAAAAGTCTTTACCGGACTGCGTGGAATATGTGAACTCGATCGGTTACAATTGCTAAGCCGAATTAGTAAAACTAAAACGAGTCTTGATATCTCTAGCGCCGCTCTATTTGGTAATCGCCTACGAGTCTAGTGTTGTCGACATTTTCAGACCTGTTTCGAGAAAAGCATTTGTCAAAATGCTATCTGGCATTCAAGACGAGCAGAAAAGCATCATGGTGGGAGGATATACAAAAGGAGCAACCAAGCAGCTTTGGTCACTCACTTGCAATATACATTTGACGTGACCCGCGGCATCATCAATCAAAATACCCAGCAATCAGGACGGTATCGCCCAGAAGAAGAGGACTCGGGCGTACTTGAAAGTAGTTCGCGGGCCGGCCGGAGCCGACGTGGCATTAATTTGTTGGATCATTTACACCGTACGGTGCCCCGCGCTCACAAAAAAAAAAAAAAGGTCCCGAATGCTCAAGAGCACAGGATCGATATACTGAAACCGAACTTCTGGTGAAGTACCATACTGCAAATTAAAAGCCTTCAAGCAATGAGACAATGTCGATCAGCATCGGACGCAAATTTCTTTGTATACATCATCCTCTAGGGAAAAAAAAGGGGGAATGTAAACTCAAAACTTAACCGGAAGGAATAATTGAATTTTCGGTTCGTTTTAATTAAACACGTTAATATTTGTTTAAATAATCCGCGTAAAATTATAATCAAAGTCGTGCGAGCCTCCAAGATTTGAGAGAAGTAAAATCTAATTGTGACATGAAAGAAATATCAAAATGTGAGCCTGGCAATATTTTTTTGCTAAAAAAAAAAAGGTCGAAACCTAAAGTTAGAAGTCAAGCAAAAGGGCGGATTTATATTTTGGAGAACATACATGATACAAAAAAAAATTCATCTTTTCTTGCTAATATCCTTTCTCAGCATACTTATTTTATCCCGCACTTTCCTTTATTTCTTTTTAAAATTATTTAATTCCATCTTATCAACAGTTTCAACCGTGTAATTGGTGTTGTAACTTTTATAAAATATTTGACAAGTACCTTACAATTACAATCCCTTCACAAATTGCAACAGTTTAAGCAGTAGTCTCGCTCAATTTCAAGGCAGGCAAGAATTAGCTGCAGCTCAAGCAGCTCGCATGGTATCACTTACTTATATGCGCACTCAACCACACAAAATAATTTCACGAAAAACACCCCAAAACCCTAATTTTCCCCCCAACCTCTCTCACCCACTTGCAGCCACAGCAGGCGGCCGCCGCCACCACTCCACCGCCCGCCGCCGCCGCCGCGGCCGTACCTCGCCGACACGTCCTCGGGTCGTCGCCCATTGTCGTGCGCCGCGCCCCTCAGACACGCAGACGTCTCTGTTCTTCCAGGCTCGGGACGTCGAATTCGGATGTGCCGCGGCGCGGCGGGGCTCGTCGGAAGGCTGTTCGACCGGACCCGGGACTGTCCTCGCGTGTAATCGAGACGGAGATGGAGAAAAGCAAAAAGGGTGGTCCGTGGTGGAGTGCACAGGTCCACAACATAAAAATTAACGTCTCGCGAGCAGCAGCCAATTCTTTGCAATTTTTCTAAAGTCAGTGCACTTTCAGATCACATGTCACTATACATAAGAAAAAAGATACAAACATCCTTTAAAGTTAGATTACGACATAATTACATCATAGCCACAGTCCCACCAGTACCAACTCTAATTTCCCCTGTTTTCTTGGCAAGAGAAGGACTCTCTCACGAGGAGAGAATATACCGTAAGAGAACATGGGCATTGTCTAAGGAATCGCTAGAGGATTGGAGAAATGCTCTTTTTCAATTTTTTTGTTTTGCGAAGAAAATGACATGAATGATCTCTGAATTTTGACCTAACGTGCAACGTCGTCCCCGGACTTTTAATTTATTAAATATTGTCCATGAACTTTAGCCAAATGCACAATGTGGTCCTTAAATTATTGATTTGTTCAATACGATCCTTGGATTTTTAATATATATTCAATTTAGTCCCCGAAATATATGAAAAATGTTTAATATTGTCTCCGGTCTTGTTTTAATAGAAGGACCGTATTGAATATTGTTATATAGTTCAGGAACAACATTGAACATATACCGAAAGTCCAGGGACCACATTGAACAAAATCGAAAGTTTATGGATCATATTGTACATTAGGCTAATGTTCAGGGACCACATTGAACGAAGTAAAAGTTGATGGACTACATTGCATGTTGGGTCAAAGTTCACGAGCCATTTATGTAATTATCTTTTCTGTTTTTTTTTCTTTTTTTGCTTGAAATGGTTGTGCTTTTCCATTGAATTCACGAACACGCGCACGGTTAGAGACAAACTATGGAGTTCGGCTAGAAACCCAAGAAGGGAGGGACCTTCTTGTCCTTTGGAAGGGCAACCACAGCACAGCACAGCACGGCACAGGTCTCGACCACCAACCTTTCTCTTTCTCTCTCTCGCCTTTGGTCTGTCCTTTGCCCCTACAACCCCACATGCTCTTGCTCACTGTTCCTCTCCTGCCCCAAAAATCAAATAAAAAAAAACCAACTTCAATAAAAAAAAAAACTCTTCCTGTTTTTAACCCTTTCTGTCAAATTCTTGTTTTCCTTCATCCTCGGTCTCGCCATATATACCCCCACGAAGCTGCCCCCCATAACCTTTCAAGCCACTCCCCCTTCGCTCCTCTCTCTCTCTCTCGTTTTGGCCACCCTTTCACTTCCTATTCACAGTACACAAATCTCTCTCTTTCTCTCTCTCTCTCTCTCTGCAAGAAAATGGCGATCAAGAAGCCGAACAAGCTCCCGCAGACGGCAGTCCTGAAGCAGATCCTGCGGCGGTGCTCGAGCCTGGGGAAGAGGTCCTCCCAAGGGTACGAAGAACAAGGAGGAGGGGCCTTCCCCCTGGACGTGCCCAAGGGACACTTCGTGGTCTACGTGGGCGAGAACCGGACCCGGTACATCGTGCCCATCTCGTTCTTGACCCGGCCCGAGTTCCAGATCCTGCTCCAGCAGGCGGAGGAGGAGTTCGGGTTCGACCACGACATGGGCCTCACCATCCCCTGCGAAGAGGTCGTCTTCCAGTCCCTGACGTCGACGCTCAGATAGACAAGGAGAAGTCGGCGAGACTCGAGAAAAGCTTCCTGAGGATTTTCTTTGTTAGGTTTTTTTTCTTTTCGGTTTTCTTGCGTAGGCGGAAGGTTTGAAGAAGACGAAGCTGCTTCATACTGCTTCTCTATTATGTCTTTCTTTTCTTAGCCCTTCTTTTATCTTTTGGGAATTGGGACTTCAGTGACTCTGACTACCAAGGGATCCCAGGAATATTATCTGGGGGTCGGATCTGTAAATGTTTCTCTCCAAGGTTCTGTAATTTTTGTCCCCTCACGGTCGTGTTCGGTGGGTTTACCACCGATTGACCCTGTGAGCGAGGATTGAACTGATGTGAAAATTAATCAAATATTAATCTTGATGATGATGATGATGATGATGGCCGGGTGGTGTTTCTTCTTGCCCCTCTATTTGCCCTAATCTCTCTCTCTCTCTCTCTCTCTCTCTCTCTCTGTATGGACATGCAAAGTGCAAAGCCATGGCATGGCAGAGAGAGTCTCAAATTCAGGAGGGACTTTTGTCTATGTCTTGTCTGGTCTGGTCTGGTCTGGTCTATCGTTCTTTGCTTTTGCTTGGCTGCCTGAACCTCGTTTAAAGGCGCTCCTCGCACGCCTAGGGAGTTTGGAATCATGTCCTCCTTTTGGAGTGAAAAGTCTATGTACTTTTATCCCTACTTTTGTACCTTTTCTAACAAAGCATTATGCTTTTGATACGTTTAATCAAGTCCTTCTACTTTCATGAATCCATGAATCTTCTTACCGAGTCTCTCCGATGTCAAATCCCGGCGAAATTGGCCGTCGGATGACGATATGATGTGAAGTGTGAACGTTCGCATTATTGAAAAAAATTTATCCACGTCAACTAGGCTAAAATTCTGACATATTTGATCTGTCTCATAAAATTTGGTGCTTGGAGAGATTCCGTTAGAAAATTTGTGAGAGTGTGAGAGTTGATCGACTCGATTAGATAAATTAAAATAATTGATTAAGAAAGGGTGAAAAGTAAATCTTTTCTTACTTTGGATGCAACTTGGGTCTTCTTCTTTTTTGTCGAAAACTTGGGTCTTTATTGGCGAGTATATTTGACGACACCGGATGAAAAGTTAAAGCGCTCAGCTCATTTCAAACTTGACCGAATTATAACTCGTGCTTGAAAATACTCGACGCGAGCAGCTCATGACTACTGAGCCCGATGGAGTTTCGTGTTTTATTTATATTCCAATCACATATATTCACTTGTGAACACAAAACAATCGGAATGGACATTATTATTGCTTCCGGAATGCAACAATCAGAACTCGCCGATTAATCGAGACGAGCCGAGCCGAGCTCAGCTTCATCGGAAAGCTTATTCGAGTCGAACTAGTTAATACCCAATTGAGCTCGAGCAAAGTCGGGTGCCGGGTTTCCTAAGAAAAGTTACCTCTCGAGAGGACTATCTTAGTCTCGAAAAGAAAAAAAGAAAAAAAAAAAAGAAAAAGGAGGACCATCTTAGTCAGAAATGAAAGACTCGTTCCTTTTTGGCCAAAGAAACCAAAAAAAAAAAAAAGAGAGAGACTTTAAAATGCATTACATCTATAGCCGCTATCTATGGCCATAGATAAGGGCGGCCCAAAATTCAGACTTTAAAAGCTAACGACACAAGGGCTCACATGCAAGTCCGACTGCTCGACAAGAACTATATACATTCTTCTCGAAAAATTTATACTGGTCGCGCCGCCCACTCAATGCGCGCGGACGAGATGATTTGCATGCATCACGAGAATCGATCGAATCATTAACGATAATCAATCGGATTTTCGATTTGCTCCTATCAAGAGATGGGGTCGAAGTGATTGGACGAGCGGCGTGGGATGGACGGGTCAACGTCGATTTCGATGCCGGGAGGCATGGGGCGGTGATGAAGGAGAGATTTACCTTTCGTACCGGAAATTAAATTCTTATGATCTTTTTTTTTTTATCAAATATTTTTTTGAGCTCAATCGAATTTTTATTTTTTATTTTTAAAAAAGGAAATTCCATTAATCGGGGGTGGTCCAGGCAGCGGCTCTTGTGTAATCCGCCTCAAAAGGTGTAATGACCACCCACCTGCACGCCCCCTCCCTCCCTACCTCCCTCGTTCCTCTGCCAAAAGATAAAATTCGATATCTTCCATATAAAATTTCCAAGGGAAAATCTTTTTCAGAAAAATATTATCATCGCTAGCGCTAAGCTCTAAGAAAATTATTACTACTTTTTAATCGTTTTCCCTTTTAGAATTTTAGCGAGGATGGTAATTACTAGCCGACCATCGCACGACGAGTTCATTTTTCACCGGCACGCTATCCGCGTTTTTTGCCCTCTTGTATCCCGGGCGTTGATTGAAACGGGGCGAACGGAAATTCGCGTCCCTCCATGTTAATCCCCGACTTTAAGGGCGACGACGACCCCGTTTTTAAAATCTCTCTTTCCCGCCTCGGTTTCTACTTAGAGATTCCGGGATTCGATTTCCGGCGAAGATCGGACATCGAGCCTTCGAAAATAATAGAGGAAACATCGGTACCCGAAAGAACAGCGGGGAGATATTTTTTTTTTGGTGATTCGGAAGGTGGAGAGAGACATCGAAATGAAGCCTTATTTCGAGAAGGACGGACGGAAGAACTCAGAGTACGGCGCCAAAAAAAATAATTTTCTGAACACATCTCGTGGGATTTCCTTTTTTATTTTTTTTATATTTATTTATTTCTGGCCGTAGTTTTTATACATTTTTTTTAATTTTTTTTTTAATTACGAGGTGGTCCAACCGTACAGTACAGTAGTACTGGGGGGGGGGGGGGGGTCGTAAGTGGAATGAGTAGCGACAGGTAGAGAGAGAAAGGAAGTCGTCGGTTGGAGTTAGTTGACGATGGGTTTGCACGTGCCGCATGTGCGCGCATCATGACCCCATCCCCATGCCATATGCCATGGCCATGGCCATCCCTCGCACGCAAAACGAGGGAGGGGGGGTGGGGGGCGGCGAAACGACGCTCCGTATAGGACGAGTAACTGCCGGAGCCGTACGGGGAGCCGCGCGCCCAACTGTACCGCTTAACATCGCGCCCTGTAATAATAATTCTGTCGATTTCTTTTTCTTTTTTCTTTATAACTTTCGGGCTTCTGTATATTCATTTCCCATGCACGGGTGGGTACAAAAGAAATATATATCCACACGGTCACGGGCACGATTTCTTTCTTTCTTTTATTTAAAAGTTAATACCATAAAAAAAAACCCCGATTCGGTATATCCTTCTGATACATTAGTGACAAATTTACTCTAAATAAATTTTTCGACAATCAAAAACCCCAAATCGGTACGCCTGTGACAAATTTACCCTATGTTAAATGGGATTAGTATGGCAAAAAATCACAAAATGATACACCCGTCAACTGCCACGGATCATATAACTCGGAAATATGACGGTAAAATTTAACAAAAACTAACATAGGGTAAAATTGCCACAGATGTACCGATTTGGGATTTTTTTTGGTCAAAAAATTAGTTCGGAGTAAATTTATCATAAGTATACCAGTTTGAGATTTTCTGTGGTATTAATCCTTTATTGAAAACAAACACGTTCGTCCCATAAGAAAATCCCTAATTTTTCTATTATATTTTTAGGTTGTTTGTGCAAAAATTCTTGCCCAATTCCTTCACCCGCTGCAACTTCGCCATTAGGGCAGGAGGCCGGTGGACCGTTAGGCTCATAATCTAAGTCTATTTAGGTGCGTTTGTTTCATGGAAAATTAGGGCGCGAATGATAATATTTCTCTTCTCTGGCCTATTTCTGGCTAGAAATTAAAAAATATATTTCCCTTTCCCGGACGAGTTTCCGAGCAAAAAGTAGAGTTTGATAACAATACAAAATTTTTCTTCCTATAATAGAAATTTGTTGGATAACGACGCAAAATTCTATTCCCGCCAGCCGATGAGTGGGGGTAGCGACGGCGGCGGTGACGAATGGTCAATGAGCGGCGCGCGAGGGGCGAGCGGTGGTGGGCGGTAAAGGCGAGCAATAAAAGAGAATTGTTATTTCTGTTTCTGCTCCAGAAATAGAAAGGTAAAAAATTTTAACTTCTCATTTCTGTTCAAAATCTGTTTCTGAGCCTAAATTTGTCCCGAAAAAAAAAATATATTTTACCAAACGAATTTCTGTTCTAAATCTATTCCCACGAACAAAAAAATAAAAAAAAAACATGGAAATAAAATGATTATCATTCGCGTCCTACGTATTTTGGAAAACGTTCTCTTAAAAAAAAATGATCTATCGTATCACTTGAAATAACAACTCGATGAAAAATATATTCATCATCGATCTAAATATTTCCGTGAACGATGAAAATATTTTTTTGCGGGCGATATAAGTAATCGTTTTTAAGAAAATATTTTTTTAAAAACCGTTTATTAATTTGCAAAGGATTTAATTTTATAGTCATCCCTTAAAAGTTCATTCAACGCCACCGTGAATGACCGGACGTGCAAGAAGTCAAAAAGGCGCCGCGGGACGCAATGAATACGGTTCCCGTGTTTGGGACGGTCGATGCGGACATTCTGCGACAGTCAAACCGCTTCGACATCGAAGCGCACTTGCGATTCCCCCCCCACTCGTCTCTTCAAATCTTTTTACGACGACTCACGCTCAGAAACTTGTCCCCCGCTGATTGTGGAAGTCCTATCTCTCTCTCTCTCTCTCTCTTTCTCTCTCGCAATTCCGTCTCGGTCTCACAGCTCACGCTCAGAAACTTGTCCCGCCTAATATGGAAGGAAGTCTCTCTCTCTCTCTCTCTCTCTCTCTCTCTCTCTCTGGTGCACTTCCTGTAAAATCTTTGCAAGGGTTGGTTCATTTGCAAGAGGAGAAAAAGTGGCAAAACAATCCCCCAAAAAAAAATCCAAACTTGTACTTATGCGACACGTTCATCTTCTATCGAGGGTCCGTTAGATGTTTTTTTATCCAAACACAATACCGTTGTTACTTCACTTAAGCCAAGTAGGAGCCATTGTCAGCACTATTTGCTTTCTAGGGTACATGTAGACAGGTTTTTAACGGTTTTCATTGATAAAACTTTGACCGATGAGGGTAAATATATCGTATAAGTATAAATTTGTGATTTTTTTTTGTCACGCGAGCGACGAGCATAATTTAAAGTTTTTTTATGTGATTTTCGGCGTTTAATAGCCGCCGGTACTTGGAAGAACGTACCCTGCTGTGTGTGTGTGATTGTGTATCGGGTTAGAGAATGCTTATTGGATTTGGCAGGAGAAAATGGTAAAAAGGAGAGTGATTTGTCCTTTTCTTTCTATCTTCCTTTCTTGTCCTGAGCGAGGACTTTATAAAAAAGACTTCCTCTTTTCTTT